GGGAAAACCACGAAAACGCCCATGCAGCCAGCCCGTTCGCGGGATTCGAACCTCGGACCAAACCAGTGTTCAGCGACTTTACCGCTCGGCCGCTGGTGGGCCCATAAAAAATTAAAAAGTAAATAAAAAAACTGAGGAGATTCAGATTTTAACGATCGCCTAAGAGGATTTGTTAAGGTTTTTTTTGCGCTTTCACTGACTTCACAATCTAGCAGACTGCTATTGCACTGATGTTTGCTAACCCATTTCTTCTTGTCACTTTAGCTCTATTATTAAGCATCATTTTCATCGCATTAGCGCCCTATGCAATTCAACAGCAAAATTACAAAAATTTTAAAAGCAACGTAGCAACATATGCTTAGAATATGCGATGCAGTTTTAAGTGTTGTAATAATTTTTTTTTCCTATTTTTTCAGTGCTTTGTCAGTTCATCATATCAACATTCAGTTTTCTTAGCAAGTTGGCTTGCTACACATCTTTTTGGTCTTCTTATTATTAACGTTTTGTGTGCTAACTTTATTTATTAAATATCATGTTCTTCGCACTTAAGCCATAAAATTAAATTTAACAGCAATATCGCAAAATAATTTTAAAATGAGCATATCTTTACAATTTCCGATACACAGTCTCGCGGGCTGGAGATAATTTTTTTTCCCGTCCAGTGTTGCCATTGCTCGCTTTGAGTTTGTTAATCAAAAATTCGTTAAAGTGTTACAAAATATGAAATATAAAATTCGAAACTTAAATTTCGAGCTTCCAGGTGCAATTTTTTTTTAAAGACGTAACAGAACTTTTAACAAACTCGGTGATTTAAAAGTAATTTAAGAATATTACCAAGTTTGTACCGGCGGTACATGTAACAAATGCTTTTCTTTATATGCTATGCCATTAATATAACGAATAAATGATGTGCAGAACCTCAAATTATTTATCGCCGTTTCAAAACGCTTTTAAATAGCATTAAGGTCGTTAAATTACGAAAAAAAGTTAAAAATGATGCAAATAAATTTGCACAGTTTTTTGTAACAATTTCTGTTAACCCTACGAAATTATTACAATTTTCCATTTTATTTTAGACAGCATTGGTGTCCATTTCCTTGAATAATAGAGATTATAATATAATTAATAACAAATGCAACCAAAGGATTATCAGATGTTGGATTGCTCATAAATATTATAAAAATATTAAAAAAATACTTTACAGATTCACATTTAATTTAACACCAGTTTGCTGTTATCAACACAATGCACTGCAGTTTCTTTATTTAGTGTTTTAGAAAGGAATTTGGAAAAATATATAAAAAAGTTAAGTAAAATACTAACCACACTGTCATTTTAATAAGTCAATTACGCAGTACTTATTTCAAAATGCAAGAAAATGAATTCTTTTCTGCTATTTATTATATTAAATTTAAGTGCCCAGATTCTAAAAATTTTCACCACAGCTTTCTATTGAAGTTAAGTATTCATTTTTAAAATTTTAATACATTACTTAATAATTCTGAACATTTTCCAATGAGAATTTTCCTATTTTTTGAAATCCTGAACTGTCTGTTTTATTCTTTTACACATCGTACAGGATTTCTTTAGTTTCTTCTAAGTGGAAAAAATAATTTCTACTCTTCTATGACGAAAGTCGTAATATGCTGCAACTTCTTTTAAGCGCAGAATAAATTCAAATATATTGGGGTGACTTTCCTTAAAGCTTTTATTTCACTATTCCAACTTTCTAAAACATCCGTTATTCTGTGGCTTTCACCACAACAGTTCCAAATATCATCAATAATGTTATTTTCTAACCATTGCTCTACCATATAATTATTGAAAATTTCCAATCCTCTTTTTTGCGGAGCTCTTCCTATTGTATAGAACCATCTGTCGCCTGTTGCTCCTAAAGGAATGTGAGCCAGTGCAGAAAACATTGGAATATGCGATTTAATTTCTCGATCACTTTTACAATAGTTTACGAAACGAAAGTTTTTCAACCTTCCACCGCAAACATTTGTTATGGTAGAAGTTGCAAGCCTTCACTTCAATAAAAGAAAAATTTTTTTGACAACACTCATTACAGTTAATTCAAAATCGATTCTATATTACTTGGGGGACTATGGAAGAATCTCTCATACGTTTCTTTCTTTTTATCTGAGGGTAACGTATACATAAGTGGTATTATATTTGTGAAATCATCAAAACCTCCGATACTATTTATAAATCTAACCAAACTGCGGTGGACATGACTTCAGAGTTCCGTCACCAAATTACTCTGCCTTTCCTTTTAAACTATTCACAACACTGTCGGTTCCAAATGCAAGAATTCTATATTTTTGACCGTCATCAAATAATACAAAAAATTCAGAACATTTTTCTGGAATAATGATGCCTTCTATGTTACCTAGCAATGACGGATTGCCAAGAGACTTATGGCAATTTCTATGCGTTGATAATTTAGTTGGTTCGTACATGATAATTAATTAAAGTTCGATTCAGTAGGAACGAAATGTAAACTTTTATCTAAAGCATAGACAAAGTTTCTTTAGGTATAGAGAGAAGGACTGTTAATTCTTCGCAACATCTTCCAAAACTATCGGCCCACCAGTGGCCGAGCGGTAACGTCGCTGAACACTGGTAGTTCAGTCCGAGGTTTCGAATCCCGCGAACGGGCTGGCTGCATGGGTGTTTTCGTGGTTTTCCCCGTGTGTAACGTGTATACGAGCCAGTTTCCCTTAAAAAAGTCTTCCACGAAGGCATCCCTCCCTTAAGGCAGATAACCCTCGAGTGCTTTGCCGTAATCTAATAAACCAAACCAAACTAAAACTACCGAGTTTATGTTCTTACACTTCATTTTGTGTTTCATCTCTTGGACACACATGACATTGCTGGTCAATGACTTACTCGTATGTACTTATAAGAATACTTCTATTGCAATTATTAGACCAGCAAATCATTGCCTATTTCCACTTTTGTATGAATGTTTCAATTTAAAAGACCTGCCCTCATAAACAAAGGCCTTTTGGACCTTCTGGGTTTCAATGTATTCTTTTTAAACCTTGTTAAACTCCTAACATAGCCAGTACAGTATACAGCAAAGCCAAGAAAAGAAAAAAAGTAAAAAACTGCCTCTAGAAATTGGCCTTAAAAGTCAAACGCAAAGACAGGTTGATGTGAACCACGCGATTGTTTTGGTGTAACAAACGGAGGATGGAGTGTCGTGTACTCACCTCTCTTTTACGTTTATCGTGTGAGGGGGGAGACAAAGACTATATGGGTAGGATGGTCAACAACTATTTCCGGTTGGGGTTAAATCGTGAATAAAATCGCCAAGGCTCTTTCGGGATAGCACTATTTTGGCTCATGACCATATGATATATTCATCTCCCAAGATCTCAAAACAGAAACATATCTTTTCCCAATATGCTTTTCTAGTTGCATTTTAAATCTGACAATGCATCTGTCAATATCACTTTCATCACTTAAATGTACACAATTTTAAATGTTTCAATGAAGTGGTTATTGTTTTCAGTGTACGAATTTTGTGCCCTAACAAAATAAAAGGTACTCGCCCTTTAGAGAGACTTTTTTTGTAAACCTCTTGAGCAAGTGATGCAATGAAATAAATGCACAGCTAGGTCTTGAATAATCAAGTCAGTCTTCATGAAATAAGTGCACAAGGCGTTAATTTACAATAGTGCAATATCAGAACAGTGGTTTTTTTTCCCTCTACCATTTGGCGTTGCCATTTTGAACAGCTTCTTTTAAATATAATATTTTATGTTCCATATCTTTTACTTCTGGGGGACTATTTCTTAAACTGGAAAGCCTATCATAATTGCTCAGTTTAAAATTGTTTCAGATGGTAAACTGAAATTTGCATACCCGGATCAGAGTGAACTATCTTTTTAATTTTACAATTTTTGTATCTTTTATAAAACTTTAATGTTAAATTTAAACCTTTAATTCTTTAGATTTTAATCCGAAATCTTATTAATGTTGTTGTTGTTTTAAAAAGAAAATAGTTCGTTAAGATTTATCAATTATTTTCAAGGACACTAATATAAATTTGTAATAAAATTAGGAAATAATTTTTGGAAGATTTTAATGAAGCAATTTATTAGATGAATTGAAAGGCTTTTCAGAACTTCATTTTCGTACGAGTCTAACATAATCTGATGAAATGTTAGCTTACTTTATAAGAATTTTCAGTCACTTATAAGAAGTTAAAGCGTGTTTGAGTTCACTGAAAAGAACAAATTGGATTTCTAATTCCTATGATGAGTTTTCACGGACATACTGGAAATAACTTTCCTCCCAATCTCCTAAAACCTTAAATGTTAAATAATTTAAAGTTCAGTAAAATGAAAAATTTTGCAGGGCTTAAGGAAAATATTTTAAGATAAAACTCTGTGCAGCAGAGCCATAAGATTGAAATAAATTATTATTATTTTACAATGTAAATGTGATAAAAATATATCTAAATTCTGAATTATAAAATACTTATTATTCAGAATTCTTCAGTTTCGTAAACTACAGGGCGGGGGAAAATTAATTTTTACTATTATTTTCCCAAAATTATAAAAGCTCGATAAATCAATGAAGTACTGAAATCCTAATGATAATTTTTGAATACTGTTTACAAAAAAAAAAAAATTAGTTTAATATTAGATCCTTTACTTTTTCATTATGCTACGAGACTGAAGATAAAAATGTGTTTATTGTTTGTGTTTAATGCATGCACTTTTGGACACTCAAAACAACTTCTTATTTTACTCTGACTCATTTTTAAAAGCACGTGATTCCTTGATCCTGATCTCAAATCTGTGTAATTTATAAAGTGTAATATATTTTTAAAGCACGTGACCAAACAAATACTACACGAAAAATGTTTTTCTAAAGAATAAATACTATGCGTATTTTAAATGCAAGGTCTTTAATTTAATAATTACCGTAATTTAAAAGATAAATAATTAAATAGATAAATAAATAATAATAAAGAAGGTACTCACCTGTGTTGCCTAACAGCTTTGAAAACTGTGTAAAATCCCCGCAAAATATTGGGTCAGATTCCGTTATAGTTTCCGATCATGAATAGGATCAGCTTTTATTTTTCTCAGTTAGTGTCATTAAAAGTAACTGGGAGATAAGTCTTGACAACAACAGTATTAACACTAGCAATTAGATCTTATCTGATAGCAAGCACAAAAAGAGGAGGCAGTGGAGAACGAAAGTTGAAAAAGTGCATGTACTGTAATCCAATCCGAATGAGCGGACCCCTGACGGTGACACACGCACTCACCCTTCGTCGTAACTACGGTGAACTGAACCCGGAGAAAAACCTGCTCCGTGCCAGACCGAGCTGTCATTTTTCCGTTTCCAGGGCGCATGCGTCATAGAGATGTCAATCTCTGACGTCACAAGAACTCGTCCGCGCCTACGCTCCAATAAGAACCAATAACAGCACAAGAAGGCGTGACTTCCAACACGGTAACGTACCAACCGAATACGAAATGCGTTACGAATGGCTGGTAGCATTGACATCTGCCATTGGAGGGGGCAAATGCCCTTTTTTTTTCGCTTTAAAAAAACAAATAAACACACCGAAAAGAAAGAACGGAGAAGTGTAGGGGATTACATTTTTCGTTTCTAAGCTGCTTTCGTCAACAATGTTGCGTAACGTTTTTGTTGTTGAATATTTACCGACTATAGTTATTGAATAATGTGTCATACGTCACAATAAACACATAATGTCGTCAACATAATATGACATTGTTTTGTTGTCGGTTATTGACCGTCGAAGGTCTTTCTGTTTAAAAAAAAAAAAAAAAAGTTTATTGCTGTTGCTCCCGAGAGCTTTTAAATTTCCATTTCATATCAGAGTAGTGACCTTCCCCTTCAAAGAACCAATTTACAGTTCAGCGTTTACTAAGTGTCAAGGATACTTTCTTAAGAATGAACATGAAAGTTCTTTGACATTTTCAGAGCACTGTACTTCTTGAATGCCTTATGAAATGTAATTCCAGTAATTTAATATAACCATTTCGTGGTAAGAAGAAAAAGTAAAGTTAATTATTATTTATTTATTTATTCATTTATTTATTTTTGGCTCAGAAATGTACTAAACATTTTTGTGTGTTTGCGAATTATCAAATAGCAAAGAAATGGGCCATGCGAGCCTGGTACAATTAAAGGACAGACTAGAAAGAATCAGTATTTGAAAACCTACAGGAAAAAACATTCATGCCCATTTTTTTTGAGAAAATTGAAACAGTAATATAGGAACAATTTCTACATTATGAATCGGTTCAGGAGAGAAAATATGCTCGTAACGCTCATCGACGGAAGATTTTGCATAGTGGGGGAAAAATAGTACCGGTTCATGCGCCAAAAGGGAAAAATCATTTACATCCAACTTCCTCTATGAGACTTATTCATACTCGTTCTTTGCCGCCCAGCCAGTATAGTGGTTAGTCGCATGGACCGTCCGACCTAAGGTTCTACACCAATCAGAGTTATGTCCATGCGACGAAAAAGAATCTACCATCCACCGCCGGTGGCATTCACTGAATCAATGATAGTAATATTACTAAACTGACAACGTCATCTATACAATAATTGTTAAATAATAATCCGTATGAAAAATAAATATACAATCAATTAATCATTACATTGTGTTAGCATAAATTTAGGTATTTTGCATAATGAAACTCGAAAGGCATACGAAACGAACGTGCGCCAAGGTATATATTGGCGAGAGAAAGTAAAGCTCGTGTGCAATGCAGTATATTTGATTTTCACCCTAGCTACTTGTACCTGGCCAAAGGTCTAATCCAGTAGTACTTTCTTCTCTTTCAGGTACGATGGCAAAGTATATTCCTGTTTATTTTTCTTATTGCCTAATATAGGTAAGCCTGATGATATTTAGTACTGATGATGATTCTCTGTAAGTTATTCTTTTGAATACTTCAATTTTAATGTCCGTGAACATTATTATTTTTTTGTTATGCTTAAGTTAAGCCAAATTATCCTATTAAATAAAGATTTCGTAGTTAATCTTTTTGACTTATGATTCTTTAATTCTGTGCTTAAGGAAACGTACTCATTACGCCTTCAGTGCTAATGCACAATCAACACATTGTCATGGATAGAATCTATGTTGTGGAGAGTGGAACTTATATATTAACCAGTTTTTAAACCTATGTCTTCTTCAATACGTCATAACTTCATATTCTTATCAGTTACACACCTAATGATGTGTGTACGCATTATTGTTGCGGTTATCCGCAGAGTAGGCCCGTCACATCAGTTCAGACAGTTGATAGTTCCATAGTCCAAAGTATATGGTGTTGTGTAGACTATTCTATGTTCATATAAACTGGGTTCTAAGTTAACTTTTGATAAATTCGAAGTACACTTTTGTTAAGTTCATTTGTTCGCTTAAATACTACTTGTTCACTTTGATACATCATAACTTCGTGTGTTAACAGTTTGCACACCTCATTATGCGTGTCCATAGCAATTTGCACACTGTGTCGCAGTTATCCACAAAACAATCTCGAAATTGCATAGTTGGGAAGTTCTTTGTAATATGTACACTATTTTACTATTACCCACTGAAGCAAATGTTTTGTAAATAATAACTTGGCTCCCAGATGATTAAAAAATAAAGAAGGAAAGAAAACTAATTCTTAAATTTTTTCAATACAATTCTAAATTGTGCAAAAACTACAGATTTGTTATACAATTCCAGTCTATACAAATTGACTGGTATTCCAACAGTATAATGCACATATTCTAAAAAATGCTATTATTTATTCCATTATATGTATCTAATGTTTATAAAAAGGCTACAATAATACACAATTTCTTCAAAGGTGTTAAAACGTCTAATGGAAAACAGGAACTAATTCCTAATTAAAATAGACATATAATACATAATTATTCACTACATATTATTTACCAATCGTCATACCATAAAAATACACATGTTTCAAATCCTGCAACTAATTTTTCATTACAGTTAGAATATTTACCAATCAATCATACTACAAAGGTACATGTTAAAAAAAAAAAAGAAACTGCAACTAATGTTTCATTACCGTTAAAATAATAAATTTCTACTATATAATTATAAATAGCACAATTAAACAATTCAAATATAGTTAATCATTCTTGTAAAATGGCTATAATATTGCCCAATTTCTTCAAATGATTAAAAACATCTACAGAAAAACAGGAACCAATTTCCAATTGTAATAAACATGAAATACAAAAAATTATTCAGTACATATTATATACCAATCAATTATACCATATAAATGTACATGTTTCAAATGCTGCAACTAATTTTTCATTACAGTTAGTATAGTTATCAATCCATCATACTAATACAACTGCACACGTTTTTTTGCTTTTCAAATACTGCAACCAATATTTCATCACAGTTAGCGTATTCCAATTTGCCAGCTAATAAAATAAATCTGCTCTAAGTTGAATTGGCTGTAATAGTTCACAATGCTTAAAATAGTTAATCTACTGGAAAGCAGAAACTTATACCCAATTGTGATGGACATGATATGCAGAAGTTATTCTGTACAAGGCTGTTATAATTTCAGATCCTATAAAAAGCTACAAAACATCCTCAGATGTTTATTCTTATATGCAAATACAAAACACTGATCTCTCTGTCAAATATAGAAGAGACATTTACCAATTCTATCAGAATTCAATAGACCTAAATATTTCATACATTTAATTATAACTCTAATAACAAGGAAGCATTATAACCAACAAAATAATTAGATAAGTTCTAAATTCCTGTTCTTACTTAAAATGCACATATTCCAAGAACTGTAATGAACCCTGTTACTCCTCTGACAGCCGTAGCAATGGGCCCGGGTTCGAATCCCGGAGAAGGCATGGTTGAAACCGTCCATCCTTTCTTAGGACCAAGACGTTGGCTTTCGGAGTACCAGTACCTTTGCTGAAAACAGCAAAACCTCCACAACTTCGTTAAGAAAAATTGAATAATTAAGAATAAAGCATGGCTGAAATGGCCACCACTTCCGGCCCTTGGTAATGGTGCAAGGCTAATGGCTAAAGCAACGGGCTTTTGAAATATATATATTTGCTCTTGTCTCTTTTTTTAAAGAAGACTTGTTGGTTTTGTCTCTCAGTTTTTCAGCGGTGTTTGTGGATATGGATAGTGAAGATTCTAGCGGAGGCTTTGATTCAGTAGCTTAGTTTTCTGTCAACAAAATGAGGAAGACAAGGAGAATCCGTGTGTTATGAAATTTTGAAAAGCAACTATACTTGAGTTAAGATCTGATTGTAATTGCAAACTTTTCAATGCTTATCTTTGATTTGTGATAGTAAAATAAATAAATAAATAAAAAAGATTCTGAAAGCTTTTGATGAACTTGAGAATTATAAAACCCAAACTCATAATCTCTCTGGTCTTACAACGTTTCTGCCTGTGATGTACCATCGTTCTGGTTTAGGAAATGAGGGATCTTCACAGAAAGGCGTCGCACTCTTAACGGGTACGTGTTTCCCAAATGGGCAATGTAATAATTTGCAAGTTCATATAAACGCTATTGCTTCATCCCACGGCATTACAAAAAAATCGGGTTGAAAATGAGAACGGTTTTAGCCGTTGTTGAAAAAGCACCAATAGACTGCAGAGGAAAACAGTCTAGTGAACTATTTCTAAAATAACTGAGTTTAGCACCTCCGTTAAAAGGGAAAGTCTCAATTATTCCGTAAAAAAAGAGTATGAAAATATACTTGGTGGAGAGTTAAACATCTTAAAATTACACGACATGTACTAAACGAACAATGCACTAGATGTTTTTTTCATGATCATGAAGTTTAACACCAGATTTCGTTAATCAAGAAAGAACAAGTCTTCTTGATGTATTAAAATCAAATATTGATATGCTTGCCAAAAGAACGGAAAAACTTGCTAAAGCTGAAGGAAGAGTAAAACTGATTCAAGACCTGAAAAATAAAATGACAAGGAAAGAATTTCATTTGAGGAAGAGTAAATTATAACAGCGGAAAAGATTTGTGTTCCTAAGATCAGCAGAAGAAACTGGGGAAACAGAATTTTTGAGGCCTAAAAGAACCGAAAATACATTTCTCGCCTATTGTGTGTAAGCTATTGTATACAGGGTGATTCGAAACTCATGATCAAAAATTTATGCGATAATAGAAAACACCTAAACAAGCAAATTTCACCATACGGGCGGGAGAGCAAGATGTGGACCGCTAGACGGCTCTGTAATGGAAAGCTTTTTAAGTGCGAG